TCACTTTCAAATATTAACGTAACGTTCCATTCTCAATCCCGTTGGGCTTTAGATCGGCTAAAACATTTTATCTTTATTAGTGAATATTAACTTTACTGTACTGAATAGTTTAGTATAATGTTAATTCAACATATTACAATTTAGCCACTGCAACGCGTGGCCGGGTTCGCTGTGTAGTATACTATCAGGACGATTTCTGGCGAATTATTTTAGAATAATATTTATAGCAATAAATATAGCGAAATTAAGACGTAGTGATTATATTCTGTGTTTGTGCATATATAAATATTTTACAGAAAATGTGAGAACGTTCTATTAGAATATCTCGAAAACAAAAAACAATACATATAAACGAGTTCACTGACATTTATTAATGCAGTGATTATAATCAATGATTATAATGAAGGGCTATATTATCTATATATATATAAATCACTTTCAAATTTTAGCGTAACGTTCCATTCTCAATCCCGTAGGGCTTTAGATCTGCTAAAACATTTTTATCTTTATAAGTGAATATTGACTTTACTGTACTGAATAGTTTAGTATAATGTTAATTTAACATATTACAATTTAGCCACAGCAAGGCGTGGCCGGGTCCGCTAGTATATATATAGATTAAGTTTATTTTCCATTGCGGGTTCTCTTGTGCCTTTTTTTGCTAGCACATCAGCAGCTTCATTGCCTTCAATGGAATTTCAAGGAATTTTTCACTCTTTATTGATAAAGAAGGAATAATCCCTCAAAATATTTTGAGAAAAAAGTTTTTCTTTCACAGATTCAGTTACGTCCTTTTTTATATAAAATAAAAGGACTTAAAAGCATGAATGTTTCTTTTATACATAATACAAACCTCTACTGTCCTTACTGCGATGTAAAAATATATTTGGAGGGCTTGGCTCATCAGTGGTGAACCCTCCCAGCGGTTTTGCCAATTTAATCTACCAGACCGCTTCTCAGAGCTTATATAAAAATATTGCCACGTGGAAAATTAGGGAAGACAAAAACTTCAGGAGGAGACAACAATTTATTTCAGGCAAGGACAAACCATGAAATGGTAACCAAAAGATAAGCCACGAGGGGAAATTTACAGAGTAGCAAAATATAAAAATGACCACTCTGTTAATAAAAAATAATAAAGCATGCTGTGGTAAAATTTCTCATTCAGTACTTTTGTCTGAAGATGGTAACAACGTTGTTACCGAAACGTCACACACTATTTATTTATTTGGATTTGGTCTTATTACCTTGTGAAAAAATAATAAAATTAATAAATACTTTGTTACAATATTGAATGGATTGTCTTCTGATTCTTACATTGTGTCATCAATCAAGGATAACTTTGGATGACGGCAAGGTTACATTCTTGTCATATTCCAACTTTGATCTGTTGACAACAATAATTCTCCTTGGAGATGTTAAAAGAGGCAGGTATGTCTTCTTCTTCTTCTTTCTTATCTCCACTCAATCACACTAAGGTATCAAGAGGGGAAGAGTAGAGCTCATCAATGGATAAGTCAATAGAGTCAACAACAACAAAAAGCCTTTATTCAGGGTCACTGACCCTATACAGGATTCACCAGAGGTATGCATAAGAACAAAGCAGTGAGACAAAGGAAATAACGATATATACAGAAGAAAAAGAAAAAAACAAGAAAAAGAAAGAGGGAAGCAAGAAAAACAACACAAAAAGAGTAGCAGTAAGAAAGTGAGGAGTGAGTGTCACTTGGCCTTCTTCTGAGATATGGATTTGTGGAAACCATAAAACGCCGTAGCAATATACTTATTCTGGGTCATATTGTCAATTATTGATGGAAGTGAAGCACAGAGTTGCCCAGTTTTGAGCATAAGGGTTCTTCTTTAAGTCAATAGAGTCAATAATATGTCTTGGGGTTGCAGGCTGAGAATTGCACTTAGTACATAGGATTGGCTAAAGTAAAATGCGTCTGCCTTTGTCATTAAGACTGGGAGCACTACTCAGTGACAGGCTGACTTAGCTCCAATAGAAATGTCTGACATGAGGAACAGACACCATGTACAGCCGCTCCTAACATGGAGTACATCCTGTATCTCTGGAGACCTTACAGGGTACTATCAGCTTAGCCCAGGTTTGTTAGTGAGCTTGTTACTGCTCCCCCTCCTCCATCCGGGCTTGGGACCAGCAAAGGCGGAGTTGAGGGAGGTATGTAAATATATTGTGTTAGAAAACAACACACCAGACTTCAACACGCATTTTATTCTCTACACATCAAGGTACATCAACCAATGAGAGAGTAACGTGGTTTCCATATTTACATATTTAGTTGCAGAATATTTGCATCTCGGCAATACAGTACAACCTCCCTTAGCAACAGTGTTCATCGCTAACAAAATTGTCCTTCCATTGAAATATGTTCATGCTAGCGGACACCACCCAAACAACAGACAATGTTTCATTTATTGAATTTATACACATTTCTGCTAGCGGATAATTCAGAAAAAAATCAAATTTGAACAAAGAATATATTTATGAAAAAAAAGGCATCTCCTTATCGTGCAACTGAAAGTTGCTGATGGCTTGCGCCGTGGTTAGCTTTTCTTGATTATTCAAGAAAGGGTATTTGGCCAATTCTGGAATAATTAAAAATCAACGAGAATAGTTGATATTTATTCCGATAGAAGCCATCAGCAACTTTCAGTTGCACGATAAGGAGATGCCTTTTTTCATAATTTATGCACCTTATCCCAGTACAATATCACATTTGTACTATTTTTTCACAAAGAATATATTATTAAATAAATTTATTTCCAATGTTTAATGGAATTTAACTATAGTATTACTCTAACCAAGTTTACTAAATGTTAAACATGGATATAACAATAAATAAATATATATTTGAAACTATTATAGACACGTATGATTCTTTTAAAAATTAAAAAATTTCTATTGCCCTTACTGCAATGGAAAAATTAATGGGAGGGCCTGGCTCATCAGTAGTAAGCCCTCCCAGCTGTTTCGCCAGTTTAATTTTTCCATTGCAGAAAGGACAGTAGAAATTGTTTTATTTTTAAAAGAATATTACGCGTCCAAAATAGTTTTGTAATTTGATAACAGATGGCGTGGTAATGCATGCAGTTATATTGTATTATAAATTACTTTATATAATATTTACGAACAGAAAAATATGTCCAGGGTAGCCTAGTGGACATGGCATCTGCCCGGTAAGCGGAACACTGTGGGTTCGATTCCCATCCCTGGACACTTTTATTTTTCCGTTTATCATTACTCTTCACAATTCACCCTTTCAAACCTCATCCCTAAGGTTAGAAATAATCGTTATTTCTCCTTGAAATAAATTTTGAATTTTCATTGAAAAGAAACACATGCGGGATAGTATTTCAAATGTCGTTTTACAATCACAAGCCGCATTATATTATATTGTATTATAAATATATATGTTGAAAAAAACCATGATATCATACACCTGATGTACAACATGGAATATATTCAATTATTATATACAATGGAGATTGTGAAGTTCTAATGTAATCTCCAGTTTATCAACAACGCGGCTGATTCCACACTCCCCTGTTCAGTGATACGCTAACCTTGACATGGCCATTGGACTTGTGTCGGACCTGGAGGCTGTTGTTGGGTTCTGTGCTGCCTGGAGTATAGGAGTTATGCTTTTTTCCTGCTGTGAATCTGTTATAAGACCTGTGGTCTTAATATAGCTGTATGTTTTTTTTTTGCTTATCCCTAGTACACGTGGTACAGGCCATGATAATCATGGTGGGTAGTTAGAGACTGCTTTTACTGTAAGTATACCACATGTCTACACATGTGAAAAGCAGTTCGACTTTGCACTTACAAAAATGCCAGAGCCCCGTTTGGTTACTTGAACTCGCTGGTGTATAAAGAATGAAAACATTAAGACGCAAATATTTTTTTTTTATAAATAAATCAAACTTCTACTATCGCTACTGCAATGAAAAAATATTAGAAGGGCTTAGGTCATCAGTGGTGAACCCTCCCAGCAGTTTCACCAATTCAATCTACCAGACCGCTTCTTAGAGCTCTAATACTGTATTGGATCATTCTGTTTATATATGTTACACTGAAGGGTGGAATCTTAGAAATGGTATTTAAGTAAACTATTGACATATGCTTATAAGACAGTAGAATTTGTTGCAAATATGTTGCCTAGAATTTTATGTAACATTTTTATTTAATATTTAAAAATATTGTTTATAAATTTTAAGTATGATTAAAATTTACAATAATAAATAATATTCTATGAAAGAAGATAAACAAAAAAGAAGAAAAAAGAAGAACAGACAAGAACAGATACTTTACGTGGCTCTTATATATCCTTTCTTTTAATTTTATATGTTAATAAATATTGTAATGATTATATAATTGACGTAATCTTCCCATTTAAACACCCACAAAAAACCAACAGAATTACATATAAATATTTACATCGAGCAATGCTCTTCCGCAAACAATAAGGACAAAAATGAATCCAAAGTTGTATGCCTGTAATATCTAGTTTATCATGTCCAGTTTGGCATAAAAATGAGGACTCCATTCCAGCACTTTGAATTACTATCTGAATAATTTTTTTTTGCTTATCCCTAGTACACGTGGTACAGGCCATGATAATCATGTGGGTAGTTAGCGACTGCTTTTACTGTAAGTGCACCACATGTCTACACATGTGAAAAGAAGTTCGACTTTGCACTTACAAATATACCAGAGCCCCGTTTGGTTACTTGCACTTGCTGGTGGGTTGGACTTTTGCAAGAATGGGGGGCCATTGGAGCATTTTTTTAAACATAAAAAAGTCTCCAATGCAGGAATTGAACCCAGGTCGTAGTGGTCGAAAACCAAACGGTTTAACCAGCCTTCCACCGACCCCCCACCTGAATCACACTTGCAACACTCCAGGCGCAATTATGGATTAGAAACACACATTTAGAGACCAAATAAACTGTGTTTGATATTTCAGTAACTGTTTATTTATTTGGTTTAGGGGGTCGGTGGAAGGCTGGTTAAACCGTTTGGTTTTCGACCACTACGACCCGGGTTCAATTCCCGCATTGGACACTTTTTTCTGTTTAAAAAAATAATAAATGCTCCAATGGCTCCCGATTCTTGCAAAAGTCCAACCCCACCAGCGAGTGCAAGTAACCAAACGGGGCTCTGACACATTTGTAAGTGCAAAAGTCGAACTGCTTTTCACAAGTGTAGACATGTGGTGCACTTACAGTAAAAAAAGCAGTCGCTAACTACCCACCTTGATTATCATGGCCTGTACCACGTGTACTAAGGATAAGCAAAAAAAAATTATTTGGTCTTATATTACTTTCTAATCTTATAATCCAAATTGTGCCTTTTGTTATTCTTTCTATTGGATGGGAGAGAAGTCTGACCACACCTTCCTACAGCGGACCCTTGGAATATTTGATCAAATTATGGTCCAAGGGGACTGACTATACATGGCAACCCATTCTCTAAAATGAAGATCAAAAACCACCGGTTCTGTCCATCCAAGAGAACAACAGTCCTTGATTTCCAGACTTAAGTCTGGCCATCTACGGACAATGACAGAATGATTACAAGGTTTTCCCACTATGTACTAAGTGTCAACTTACAACCCCAAGACATATTATTAACTGTATTGACTCATCCATTGATGAGCTCTACTCTTCCCAGGCAGACACCATCAACAAGCTTGATACCCTAATATGATTGAGTGGAGATAAGAAAGAAGAAAACCAATTCTGTCTATCCATACAGATTATCAGAGAATCATTATTTGAGATGTTTTGGTAAGTTTTAATACTTATAGAAGAATTATACCATGTTTGATTCTGTAGAAAGGGCATTTGTGGCCGAAAGATAAGAGATTAAAATGGTTGAAAAATATACTTTTCCCTGGAGATGATTTTTACTCAAACTTGAGGAAGAGTGAAGATAACCCAAGTCTACTGCTAAGAATGAACAACTAGAGGGTGAGGACACACACCAACAACAACACAGTAAGGTGAACAACAGCAGTGGTGCTGGGGAGACAACGAGACAACAAGATACTTGGCTCAACACCAGATGATTCGCCGCGGAGGTCCGCGACTAGGATGTACCAGCAAATCTACCACCAGGGCGGCAATAGCGCAGCACTGAGATGGGGACAGCTCCTGAGCATCCACCACCAGCCATTGTAGAGTCATTCCTTGTTATTACATGAAGACAGGAATATAATCATTTATAATATGATGCACTAGCGTGCTATCTGTTATCAAAATACAAAACTATTTTAAAGGCGTAAGATTCTATTATATATTTATAAATGTATATTAAAAATGGCATATCCTGACCAGGAACACATGTGCTTTACAGAAGGCAGAGCGCCATCTTGGTCAGGATATGCCATTTTTAATATTGATTTCAACACCTGATCTTTTTATCTTTTATTTTTTTCTTTCGTTTTTCATTTATAAATGTATGTAATTCTGCTGTCCTCAAAGCTTATATCCATAGTTCTTCTAAAATACCCATTCCAAGAGTCTAGCATCAGTATCACTATAAAAGGAAGATCGAAAAATTCAATATAACAGCGGTATGGTAGATTAAACTGGCAAAACCGCTGGGAGGGTTTACTACTGATGACCCAGGCCCTCCCATTAATTTTTCCATTGCAGTAAGGGCAGTAGAAATTGTTTAATTTTTAAAAAGAATCTTACGTGTTTAAAATAGTTTTGAATTTTGATAACAGATGGCGCGCTGGTGCATCATATTATAAATAATCATTGTGCCAATAGAAACATCTCTCTCTTTATTTATACATTAGAACAGGACATCTCAAGCCATTGAAGATAGAACAACAAAATCTACCCCCACTTGTCCAACATGTAGCTTGGTACCTCAGCTCCAGAACACATTTTGGCTTGTATTAGATACACTAAACAGGACCTTTGGGAGAGGCCACTGCTCATCATAAAACAGCTGGAGGAACATGGACTCATGGAATTGGTGTAATCTTTACACAAGGGGATAAGAAACAACAACATACATTAGAACAATGCACTGTACGTCACCCTGGTAACAAAACTTTACTAGTGATGGTAAAGGATGAGCCATAACACCAGTTTTGGCAAATTCAGACAAAAGCCAACAACCTGGATACCATGGTTTCTGGCTATGGCTCTCATCAGTACATGGATGGTTTCATAACATCCCAACTTAAACATCTGTTTGGTTAATTTTACTGATTACATAATCCCAATCATAGGATGTTATGAAATTGAAGCCATCCCTGTACTGATGTGAGACAAAGCTATTATCTGATCTCATGGAATGAGGTGTAAGGGTGCAGTCTTCGTTGACCATGTCACCATGGCACACTTTGGTGAAAGTCTGACTGTAATTTGAGGCCATTTCTAACATGGAAGCCTTTACTGCCAACTCTAACATGAGTACACACCTCTGTATCCCTGGAGTGGGACCCTTGCTGAGGTCTATCAACAGGGTCAGTTGAACTCAGGATTCTTTAAAGAGGTCTTTCTCCTCTTTCTAACAATGCTGCTGTTGGTCCACATATGTTTGTTTGTCAGAGTTATTCTGCTTGTTTCTCAGCTGGCCTTCTTCGTATCTGAAGGTGGTTCCCCTATCTACCACCTAGGGACTGTAGCAAGCAGTCAGCTCTGCGGACCTATGTAACGGACTCACCCCAGCTGGGAGCACCACACAGGCGGCCACCAGCAGGCTGGATGGAAGGGAGTCCAACAAGGCCGTGGGGTCTGACACGGAGTGGCCCAGCACCACCAGACAGGGCTTGAGGAAGAATGAGGAGGCCGCAGGAGGGGACCACTGTCGGACCACGTCCATGGGCCGGGAGCTCACCATCACAAAGATCTCAGGGGGCCGACCTTCAGGAAACGTGGACTGCAAGGCTTTGCGCAGACTGAGGTGGAGGCTGTTGTGATGGGCAGAGTCAATCTGCAGGGAGAAAGGGCGCTGGGCTACAAGGGGTCAGCCAGTTGTCTAGGGCAGCTGGAGCTGGGCTTACCTTGCAGGGTTCTCTCTGCCAGCGCCAGGTCATTGGGGTGGGTCACCTGCACACCTCTTCATTCCACAATTGTCTATTGACATTGGTGTAATGTCTTGTGCCCTACAAAGGTAATAAGACCAAATAAATAAATAGTTTGTGATGTTTTGGTAACAACACTGTTACCGAAACATCACACACTATTTATTTTTTTTTTGGATTTGGTCTTATTACCTTGTGTTTATAATCTACTAGCCGAATGACCCGGGCAACGCCCGGGGTTTACCCGATTAAATGCTTTTATTCAAATACTATTCGTTACAATTATAAATTGGCGCTGTGGATGTCATTCTTGTATAATATATAAATGAGTTTTAAAAATTGTAAAAAAAAAAAATGCATCGGCCGGGAATCGAACCCGGGGCGCCCGCGTGGCAGGTGAGCATTCTACCACTGAACCAAAAGCAAACGGTGACAGAATTAAGAACGCATGATGATGATAACTGTATATTATCCGTGACAGAGGCGGCCGATGAGGAAAGACGGTCGTGACTATATATAGTAATAATCCAAACTGTACCTTATCATGGATGTGGTCCTGTTACCTTGTGTTTATAATCTATAATCCAAATTGTACCTTATCATGGATGTGGTCTTGTTACCTTGTGTTTATAATCTATAATTCAAATTGTGCCTTATCATGGATGTGGTCTTATTACCTTGTGTTTATAATCTATAATCCAAACTGTACCTTATCATGGATGTGGTCTTATTACCTTGTGTTTATAATCTACAACGCCCGGGGTTTACCCGATTAAATGCTTTTATTCAAATACTATTTGTTACAATTATAAATTGGCGCCGTGGATGTCATTCTTGTATAATATATAAATGAGTTTTAAAAATTGTAAAAAAAAAAAAATGCATCGGCCGGGAATCGAACCCGGGGCGCCCGCATGGCAGGCGAGCATTCTACCACTGAACCAAAAGCAAAAGGTGACAGAATTAAGAATGCATGATGATGATAACTGTATATTATCCGTGACAGAGGCCACGACAGACGGTCGTGACTATATTTATAATCTATAATCCAAATTGTGCCTTATCATTGGAGATTTGGTCTTATTACCTTGTGTTTATAATCTATAATCCAAATTGTACCTTATCATTGGAGATTTGGTCTTATTACCTTGTGTTTATAATCTATAATCCAAATTATACCTTATCATTGGAGATTTGGTCTTATTACCTTGTGTTTATAATCTATAATCCAAATTATACCTTATCATTGGAGATTTGGTCTTATTACCTTGTGTTTATAATCTATAATCCAAATTATACCTTATCATTGGAGATTTGGGCTTATTACCTTGTGTTTATAATCTATAATCCAAATTGTGCCTTATCATTGGAGATTTGGTCTTATTACCTTGTGTTTATAATCTATAATCCAAATTGTGCCTTATCATTGGAGATTTGGGCTTATTACCTTGTGTTTATAATCTATAATCCAAATTGTGCCTTATCATTGGAGATTTGGTCTTATTACCTTGTGTTTATAATCTATAATCCAAATTGTGCCTTATCATTGGAGATTTGGTCTTATTACCTTGTGTTTATAATCTATAATCCAAATTGTGCCTTATCATTGGAGATTTGGTCTTATTACCTTGTGTTTATAATCTATAATCCAAATTGTGCCTTATCATTGGAGATTTGGTCTTATTACCTTGTGTTTATAATCTATAATCCAAATTGTTCCTTATCATTGGAGATTTGGTCTTATTACCTTGTGTTTATAATCTATAATCCAAATTGTGTACTTTATCATTTCTATAGACAGAGAGTTATTGGAGTAATAGAAAGGTATGTATTGTACCATGTTTATCAACAAACACAAGGTAATAAAACCAAATCCAAATAAATAAATAGTGTGTGACGTTTTGGTAACAGAGTTGTTACCATTATGATAAGGCACAATCTGGATAAAAGATTTAAAAAATGACAAGGTAATAAGACCAAATAAATAAATAGTGTGTGACGTTTTGGTAACAGAGTT